TACTCCCAATAGTACAAGGATGTATGACCTCAAGGGTTGCACATCTGGTGATTTCATACTCCCAATAATACCAGGATGTATGACCTCAAGGGTTGCACATCTAGTGATTTCATACTCCCAATAATACCAGGATGTATGACCTCAAGGGTTGCACATCTAGTGATTTCATACTTCCAATAATACCAGGATGTATGACCTCAAAGGTTGCACATCTGGTGATTTAATACTCTCAATAGTACCAGGATGTATGACCTCAAAGGTTGCACATCTAGTGATTTCATACTCCCAATAGTACAAGGATGTATGACCTCAAGGGTTGCAGATCTGGTGATTTAATACTCCCAATAATACCAGGATGTATGACCTCAAAGGTTGCACATCTAGTGATTTCATACTTCCAATAATACCAGGATGTATGACCTCAAAGGTTGCACATCTAGTGATTTCATACTTCCAATAGTACCAAGATGTATGACCTCAAGGGTTGCACATCTGGTGATTTCATACTCCCAATAATACCAGGATGTATGACCCCAAGGGTTGCACATCTGGTGATTTCATACTCCCAATAGTAACGGTTTGACTTTCATGAAGTTAGTACAAAGTAGCACATATTGTGATCACCAAAAAAAACAAGGCAACATAAAGATTCAACTTGGTATGTGTGCAATATAAGAAACATGGACAGAATGTACACAAGAATCAAGTGAGAAATCTTTGATCATGTCTGACATAGAGGGCAGTATACTGACATAAGCAGATCATGGATTTAAAAAAAGATAACATGTCTAAGTGTAAGGGTTTTTAAAACATGCAGTTTTTTGATCAGTACAAATGATCTTACCAAGATATCAATGTTTACATCCTCTCGATACTTGATAAGTACAGATTAAAATAAAGATGATCAGAAATTAGAACCAAATTACACAGTATTATAGGAAGTAATTCTAGACAATTCTTGATATCTCGATGAATAGAAATATATAAGTGAAATGTATATACCTGTTCTTTAGCTTCCAGTCTCATTTTCTCACCCAAATTTCTTGTTGCATCTTCTTGTTGACGTAGTCTATCTCGAACCATTTCAAGTTCATCATCTTTTGCCTGCAAGATAAGAAAGTAATTATACAAATCGTCAAGTGCTCTAATCTTTTCGTTGTACACCAAAATTTTCTATGAACCAAGCATCAGTACTTACGTTGATATTCTGTTGTGACTCAGCCATCTGCTCAGCGATTTTGTCTTCTTGTTTTGCCATCTCATCTCTTCTCTCTCTTTCCAT